CTACACAGAAGCCCTAGAGATGCTCTTCAAAAGATGCCACACAACCATTGTTTCAATTCCAACTCTCAATTCTAATAGATGTAACTGGTATTTTGTGCGTGGTATCACACAATCGGTCTGGTGCAGTGTTGTGTCCAGGCTAACCAGCCCTAGAAGGATCACAAGGGTAACAGAGGAATGCACAAGTTGGCTGCAGAAGCCAATTCAAGATCATATTTTTCAGCACTAGGTATGCCAAACACAAGCACGATCTACAAACCTTCACTATGGCTTCTCTGCATTCTGACTCTTAACTCCTGCAGCTCTCTAGATTTTCCTTGTATTTGTCTCTAAGGAGATTAAAAGCTTTAAAAGCAATTTCAAATGTGTACACAATTATATTATCGCTATGTCACTATGGATCAATATAGGGACTCAGGCCATTTTTACTTTTGCTAAGAATAAGAAAGCCATGATTTTTTCAAGCCTTGAATACAGGTAAAAAAAATTTGTAAAAAATTATAAAACTGTATGCACAACAGTTCATGATGTTTTAGATTTATTTAGTATTATTCATCATTATGCAAGTAAAAATGAAGCGGAGCTCATTTCTAAAGAACAGAAAGACTGCAAAATGTTTTAAATATTTAAATTAGGAGTGGACTTCATTTCTTTGGAGTACACAGCATTCCTTGAGGGGTGGGGGGCATCCATCTACTTCTAAAATAAAAAACACCTTTCCCCCACAATATTTGATTCATACCCCTATTTTTTTATCTTTCCAATTAATTGTCTCCTGGAGATCAAACACCTCTTTGGTTATGGAGTCTATATTCTGCTGCATGCGTTGATTCTCCTGCAGTAAATAGGATGAGGGAAGAATAAGAGAGGAAAGACAAGTAAGGAAATGAGAAAAAAAAAGGTCACATTCAAATAGATAAAGGAAACTAATAAAAGTCAACTAAAGAGTTTATGAGCATGAAGTTAAAGAAAAAGGATGCCACTTAACATAATGTCTTCTTTATGAACTCATGCAAGAGATTGGTAATTAATTTTATTCAATCAAAGTTGATGAGAAAGTTTAGTGCAGCTAGAGTCACTTTTCTTTAGTAACAGTCCCCACCGCAGACTGAGGATAACATTCTTTCTACAGGAAAATAATTACTCTGTTGTAATTTCCAGACACCTTCAAGTCCAATTTGGAAGTGAACACTAATGTGAACAAACGGTTTTAATGTTTTACAAAACAGAAAATCTTGAAAGTATAAAGAATGAAGTTTGAATCAAGCATCCAGGAAATGAAATACAGCTGCTGACGGCTTTTTGATACTATATTAATATGTAAACAAGTGTGGTTGTATTTTTTATCTAACACTGCATTTTCCTGCTTGCCCTGCAAATGTAATTAAAATTCTTTGCTATGCTCACATAATTATCTATGAAGATGACACAAGAATTTCTAGGGCTAGAGACAATTTTTTGCCCTCCCAATGAATGAGCTTGATTTTACATCTGGGAATGGAAGACAAGGTCTTTCTGCAAAAAGCTGAATGGCCTCCGCTAGGTTATCCGTTAGCGTGAATAGGTGAGGAAGTTACTCAAATAAATGGTAAATATGGGTCAAATCTTTGAAGGGACTGCATGCATTTGGTGAATATTCAACACATACACTACATTCTACCAAAGCAAACAATGCAGACAAACCCATTGTATATTGATTGACATAGTTAAAAAAACCCCAACAAACTCAAACCAACAAACAAGAACCAAGGAAGAAAGTATAAAGTACTTTTTGATTTGCAGTGAAGTCAGAATCCAGAGCAAGCGACAGAGCGACAACCAGAACTTGCTAAGTTTTGTTGCTTCTCTGCATTAATCTGCCACAAAATGCTGCTACTTAGGCTAATCTTACTCCTTTTCTTCTACTAGCAGCTCATGTCAGCTCCAGTTCATGAAGCATATTATTTTCTCAGTAACCATAACAGATCTGAGACTTTTCAGAAGTCTTTTGGAGTTACTGTACTACTACCTGGAGAGCTCAAGAACTTAGGGGGAAAAGAAACTGGTCAATGAAATGCAACATTATATAGCTTTTGAAAAATCAGGTAGTGGAAACTTTGGCCCATACACTTAAAGATAATCAATTTTTACCGAAACGAAAAGGCAATGGGAAAATGACGAATTAATTTAACTACAACTTGCAGTGCTAGAACTAAAATCAATGGGAAGTGGACACCTGCATACTGTTGTCAATATGTATCTTTGTAGACCATTTTAAAATGAGAACTGAAAATAGCTCTGGGATTTTAGGGCACTTTCATTTGTTTCCAGAAGAAAAGGGCACGAGGAGAAAAGAATACACCACATGCCCAGCAAACATTGTTATGACCCAATAACGTTGTGACCAGTGGTGTTGTATTTATGCTTGACTGGTAAGCAAACAAACATTCTCTACTGTAAACTTCAGTGGCTGATGCTCACAAAAATCTGGAATAACCGAAACAGAAACTTTTGGGAAAGGCAAAGAAAAACATTTGGTATTATCCATGCATCAGAACTTCTGGCTCTGCAAAAAGATTTTGGCCATACAAACATTAGTTCTGCCCTCACAAGAAAGAAAATATACAAGGAATATTTGTGAAAACCATGATTCTCACAGGAATTAAGGATTTTACAAGATGTAACACATTTGAAAACAGTGCAAAGACATTTTCAACATTATAAATTTAGAGAGATTGATAGCTTAAATTCTACCTGTTAAAACAAGATAAATTATTTCCTAAAAATGCAAGATAATATTTAGGCTTATTTGTTGTTATGAAGGCTGTTCCCATTCAAATCTTACACCACATTTATTTGCATAAGTTCTATCATACACTACCCAACATGAACATACCTCTATCAATTCATCTCTCTGTCGAAGGCCCTCTTTAAGTTCCTCCAGCTTATGCTGCAGAACACTGCATGTGTGTTTCTGTCTTTCCAACTCCTACATTAAAGAAATTAATGATTTATTTTTATTTATTTTGGGTTTGACACTTATTTTCAATATAAAGTTTTAAAAAGTTAGTAATATCATGTAACATAACATTACCTAAGAAATCACTGCAGTAATTTGAGAAATTCCATCTACCAAGTGGCTAAAAATCACAGAATCAGTGTTTTAGGTAAGTTCTCCAAATACTTACTATACAGAAAATTTTATTTAATAAAATGTACGTTAGAGAGAAAAAGATGACATAAAGGCTTAAGCACAGTATTAACAAGAAAAGCTCAAATGCTGAATTTATATAATATTGCCGGAAAAACCTGCCACATAGATCTTCCCTTTCCAAGAAAGTGGGGCTGAACACGTCCTATTCAATTTAAATGCATATTTTATCTTGTCACATTAATTAACATTTTTTTCCAGGGGTGGGATGGCAGTGAGTGGTTGGTGGGGGGTTGTTTTTGTTTCTCTTTAAAAAAAAAAAAAAAACAAAAAAACCCACAATACTCAAAACATCTTTGGCCACTGAGACTTTTATACCAATCCAAAGTCTTCAACTGTTCTTACCAAGTAGTCCAGGCTTCTATAATTAGGGGAAAAAAAAAAAAAGTCTTAAAAATCAGTACCTTTGACTTCTCTTCATTCTCCCTATAGAACTCTGCTATCTGTTCTTCTTTCTCCTCAATGACATCCTTTAGAGTATCCACTTGGTAAACCAAGTTGTTTTTCTCATTGTCTAGTTGAGCATTGGAAACCATAGCTTTCTTGTACTTCTCTTCAACTTCAGCTAGCGAATCCTATAGAGAGTAGAAAGGCTTACAGTTTTGATGCATTGTTATAATGTTAAAATACTACTATAACACTGAAGAGTGCTATCTGTTACACAGTAAAATTATGCAACCATTTCTGTTTCTGAATTATGTTCATGTCTTCCCTTTAGAGATATCAAGTCACAGTTCAATTTCCATTATTCAGGTTAGGTCATACGCAGCAATGAAAAATTATCACTACAAAAGTATGAAAATTACAAGAAAATATTCCACTTGCATTTTCCACTCTGCCACCTTTACAACTTAACTCACAGTGATAAAGAAGTGATATCACAGCTTTATTGTATTTTCAGTGCATACCCAAGAAAACACTTCAGAATGAGGCAACAAATCTGACAAGAGAGAACTCAGACAATTAAATGACTAAAAAAGATCACAGGAATCTCTAAGAGTAGCTTTAACTTAATGCTTATTATTGAAGTAGTGCTCTGTTACCTCAGACTCAGAGTTTTAAGACAGTCACATTTTTCAGCAATGATTCTCCGTTTAAGCAGACATTTTGTCTTTCTGTTTCTTACTCAGATTTAAAAAAAAACAAGCATGTAAAGATTCACATGCTTGATTCTCTACCTGTAGGTGCACATATGCCGTGCTATACACCCTCCTATGCAATTCTTCCACATTTACCAAAATGATTTTAACCCTTTATTTTTCCTCAGTACTGTAATAAATGCCAACTATTGAAATACTAGAACAATTATCACTCCAGGCACTGTTAAGCATGCAATGATTTCAATATTCACTCTTTTAAAAATACAAAAATTGAGTTCACAGAGTCCTAAAATTTTAGAACTGAAAAAGAACTACTAAGCCATTCCCTTTCCAAGTAGATCTGTGCCCTACTACAAATACCCTACTATTTCGTGTCATCTGTCCTTTGAAGGTATAAGTAGCATAACCCCCATTTTTAATTTTATATATATTATAATAATAGAAGTACTAGCACAGGAAGAGCACCAGGTTTGGATTTTCCAGAAAGCAGAACAGTAGGACTAAGATTAAGGGAGAAGGTGGTAACAATCGGGAGTTTCCTAAGAAAACGCTGAAGAATGCTAGTTGTTATACAGTAAAATTATGCAACCATTTTTGTTTCTGAATTATATTTGTGTTTCCCTTTAGAGATACCATGTCACAGTTCAATATTCCACTATAAGAAAAACAAAAAAGCCCAACCCCCAAACGCTATTCCATGTTATAAATGTCGACTTTGAGAAAGCTGTCCTTAAAGTACATATTTTAACTTTTGTAATTTTATCATAATCACATGTATTTATACCTCTCTGTTCCATTCACTGAATTCTGGAATTTTGTGCTGGAGAAATACAGTATTTTTGAAACCCCAGAAAAAAAAAAAACAACAAACAACTTAAGACATATCATGATAGACTACAGATCAGAAGAAATAGTGAAAACATAAGAAAGGTACCATTATCATCTGGGAAGCAGTAAATAGTAAACAATCATGAAGATTCAGGATAAAAAGAGAAGAAAATAATGAAGAAATAAAGAATACATGTAAGTGCATTCATGTAATTCTTAAGACTAAAACCACAGAAACCATTTTTTGTGACAGTGTAAACATGACAACTCTTGTAAAGATTGGTAAAACAAAACATTGGAGACAGCAAACCTTCCAAAGGCTTTCAAAGAATAAATCAATTTAGAGGAGAAGAAAAAAAAAAAAAAAAAAAAAGAAAATACTGGTACAACTAGGGAAAAAATCCAATTTGATTGTTTCTGCAAGTGTGGTGAGCACAGCCATGTAGTAATTGAGGTTGGCAGAGATCTCTGGATGACATCTGGTCTAATCTCCTAATTGAACAGGGCCAACCAAGATCAGGCTGCTCACAGCTCATCTCCAGGTAATTTTAAATATCTCTGGGAATGTAGATTGCAGAACCTGGCTGGATGACCTGTTCCACTGTTTGACTACCTTCCTTGTAAAGGAGGCTTGAGGTCTAACAGGAATTTCTGCCCTTACAACACAACTTTTGTTGCATCTTGTTCTGCCACTGTGCACCTCTGAAAGGAGCCTGCCCTGTCTTCTCTAGAGCCTCCTATCAGGCAGCTGAAAGTAGCAATGATACTGCCACCCATCCCCCCAAGACTTAGAAAATCCAGTTGTCTCAGCCTCTTATTGTATGCCACATACTCCATGACTCCAGCCTTAAAGAGGAGACTAGGTTGGGGCTTAAAGGATTGGATTAAAATGTCATTAATGAACAAGTTAATGGGGGAAAAAGTTTGCCATTATGGAAGAGGAATAAATTGATTTGGAGACAGAAGAGTGAGAATTGCTTCTGAGAAAGAAATCAAGCCATGCTCAAGAGTCTCTGACCAGTTAAAACTGGAACACTGCTAAGACTTGTTTGGAACTGTTCCTTCTTTTTGAGTAAAACATTACACATGTTCCCTATGGTTCAATAAATCCATGTAGCTTCAGCAATCCTCCAGTTCGGTGACAAATCATATGGATTTGGAAGAATTTCTGAAACACTTGAAGGAGGCAGTGGGATGTCTAAGGGATGAGGCATTGGGAACAGGCTGGAAGGAAAATGCATAACAAGGCTCTGCACATAACCTAAAGCTATGAAGAAATACCACCCACAATTCTATCAGGAAAGCCAAAGGGCTATGCAAATTAGCCTGCTTGGCTAGAACAAGATGATTAAACCCAGCAGACATCAAGTGTGCGCTCCGTTAACTGCATAAAAAAAAATGAGGAAAGAAAAAGGATTCCTTTCTAGTTGATGCAAGGGAATATAGCAAGAATCAACAAAACTGAATAACTGAGACATGAAAAGATTTGAAGACCTAACTAAATCAGAAATATCCACATTAGTGTTTATTCTGCTGACACCCAGCAGATTTGTAGCCAGGTAAAAACCACGCTCTTAGCAGCATGAGGGATGGACAACCACAGAGATCGGAAGGTAGTGTGATTACAAATCGCTGTTACTCAACCAGTGAAAAAACACTTAAAAGAAGTGTAAAAGCAGGTATCCTAGCGACTTTTCTAACATACACAAGAAAAAAACTGCTAAAGCAGAAGTTGAAAAAAAGGCAATACCTTCCTAATGAGAAAGAACAGTTCCCAAAAGAATCTCTATGGAAGGCAAATTAACTTCGGAACATATTACTCAGTATTAACAGTAGCATAAAATGCAATTCTATTTTGTAAGCCAAGCACAGATCAAAATCTTACTGTCTTTTGCTACTATGCTCTTTGGTAACTGTAATAGATTACAATAAATAATAGTGCATTAGTAATGATTCAGAACAGCAGTCATGAGATGCTGGCAAACATGCAAAAGTGCGAGTTAGTGCAATCATAACTGTCTAATAATCTTGTAATCTACTGCTTTTGAAGTCCTTTTAATATTCATATGGCAGTATGATTAAAACAAGATGTGCTTCATCTAAGCATACAGCTATCAGATTCAAAGTTACTTATCCTCTGAAGAGGAAATAATTTTTGCTATTCTGAACAGCTCAAATTACATATTTTCTCTTTACTATACCATCTAATATGTTGTTTAATCAAGGAAATTCAAGAAAGCTGTAAGTACATCACTGCTACATGCTGTAGTACAAACAGCATTCATTAAATTCAGTCTCTATATGGATACAAAACAAATATGGAAAGATCTCTCCTTTTACATGGAACCATTCACACTCAGGCAACAGGACAGAACAGAACAAATATCCTGAAAGAGATTTGTAAGCCACATCATTTGCTATATTCAGTTTCCCTTCAACATAGAAGGGGGACAAATAATCATACTTTAAATTAACTGAAAACTGTAACTGTGAAAACTTACAAAAGGAAAGCATACATACTAATTTAAACAATTCAAAATACAGATAAATCTCATTAACCTAATGCTGAAAATACCAACCTATAACTTAGACAAAGATAATGGGAATGTAAACTGTAAGCATAAAGAAAGTATTTCCTAATGGCAAAGGATTAAAACAAAATTAATCACAGAATCACAGAATATTAGGGGTTGGAAGGGACCTCGACAGATCATCTAGTCCAACCCCCTGCCAGAGCAGGACCACCTAGAGTAGATCACACAGGAACATGTCCAAGAGGGTTTTGAATGCCTCCAGAGAAGGAGATAATCTTCTCCTGCAATCAATATGCCTGCCTAGATTCATTTCAGCACATCTTTCAAAATTACTACTTTGATTTTGCTTTATAAGCTGTGGTATTTGCCAAAACTTGGAAGACTGATTCTTAATTTCTCAAGTTCTTTGTCATAACTATATCCCATGTTTCTTCCCCATTCAATAAGTAGTAATTGTTTTGAATATCCATTTATTTGCTAACAAAACTCTAAAGGAATATAAATTGAACCTCTTATTATCTTACCAGAAAACACTTGCTAAAAACATAAAAGTTTAATACTATTTTAACATAAACCAAATAACGAGCATATACTATTTCATGTATATTTAAATCATATCTTAACAATTTACTCACATGACAAATTTAAGCTGATGCTCTCTATGCATTAGCAGTTAGATACATGCTTTAAAGAAATTTAAAAACTTGTTAGTAAAGCCTTATATAGTTAGTGGAACCAGTGATATCTCCATTACCCAAAAATACCCATTAAAAAAATGCATGCTTGGGAGGAGCCCTGATACCTTTAGTTCTTTAAGTCCCTGCATGTATCTCCCTTCTACATCGTGTATCTGGTCCTTAAGATCATAGATATCCTGCAGGACATAGGAATGAACCATTGCATAAGAAGTATGGGGAAATAATTTATAGTTGAAAAAACATTAAAAGGTTTACATGCATTTCTGTCAAATGCCAAAGCCTGCAATAATTCACACAAATTTAATTAATTCACAACAACTTGATGGAAATTAAGATTGTTTATATCCCTGAATCCAAGCCATCTCAAGTAGGACAGAGTTGTTTCAAATTTGAAATAAATGAAGACTTTCTTTAATACAAACTAAACTGTTAGCTCTATAAACATTTACCGACATGGCAAATACAATTACTAAGATCCATACAGAAATCTTTCACGAGTGAAAATTACATCCTCATAACTTTGTCTTACTATTAAGAAACCAGAAGTTCTGTAGCAAAGAAAAATACCTCCTAACCACAAAGACAATTTTAAACTAGCTCCAAATTCTCTGAAAATGCAATTTACCCGTAATTCACTGAGGGAGGCATCAGGATCCACCAAACTGCTCGTGTCTCCACTTCCCCTCCTAGAGGAGTTGCCACTCAGAGGAGTTGCACTTATTGAATTGCGAGATGATGGCTTAAAAAGGGAAAAACACTGTATCAGGAATCATACTGTCATTTTTGGTACACTTGACTTTACTCTTCATAATTTCCTCAGTCATAGAACACTTTTCTCTCTTCTTTTTACCATTTCTTAATACTAGCTTATAGACAATATCTTCCATTGATTATTTTCCAGCACTTATGTTTCTTCTTGGTGAAATGTTGGTTTCTCTTTGACTTTACAGTTATAATATTACAGTTTTGAGTTGTCTGTTCAGAAGACTTCCATAAGGAGGCTGTTAGTGCTGAAAAATTGTAGCAGCTTAAAATATTTCTAGAAATTATAATTTCTGCCACCCAGGATTCAGAAGTCTCCAGTAGAATCTAGCATATGAATTTTTACAGCACTAGCCTTTTAAAATTCAACCTTTCCTGCTAAATATTTCTCACATAGAAAATGAATTCAGTAAGAAACTATACTTGCTAAAAGTAAACTAAAGAATAAAATTCTTTCCTCAAGAAATAAAAAAGAAAAAGCATTAATTTTGGAGATAAAATAAATATAAATACCTCTTTGCAAGCTCTTAAAAATCACTAAAATACACTCTACTAAAAAACACACAGCATTTATACTTTTTGAACTATTTTAATACTTGTAAATTTGTGAATAAACATTGACTTTCAATAATTTTTAAGTTAAAAACTCTCACCCTTGAAAATATTTCTGAATGTGATTTTTCACTCTTTTCTTCCAGCTGAAAGAGAAGGGAAAGTGATCACAATACACCTTTTGCAATGAGGGACTACTGAATCACCATCTTCTGTTCAAAGACACTGAGAAATATTTAAGAATGAAAAATTAAACAATAAAAGAAATATCCAGAAGCTAGCATAGATCAATACAGCAAAAAGATATTCAGCCTGAAAAAGTAGTTTTTACCTCAACTGCAAAATAAATGAATGCTTGTAAAGAAAAAGCCAGAAACTTCTTTTTAAGAGAATTTTTTAAAAGTCATTACCAATATTAAAGTACTGAACAACAAAACATATTTCAATATCTTAAATTTCACCAGGGTAGTGACTACAACACTTGGTGGCATAACAAACACAAAGCTTCATGCAAGTGCACTTCAGACAATCAGTGACACCAGTGTGAACATCCTAGCTATTAGAAGACACATTTGTTCCTTCAGTCTCTTTGATGAAACCTGCAATTAGATCAGGACAAAACCAATGTAGGTAAAAGCCCATAACTAAGGTGTACTAATTAATAGCAACCTACAAGATAATTTCAGCTCATATTTTATGTATTGAAGCCTATGCAAAAGAACTACACTCCCCCCTTTTCATTTATGAAACTCTGATATTGCAAAATTACATTGTAGATTTCCATATTTTCTACATTTCTATGACTCAAAATAGGTGGAATTAAATGAAGACCTTAACATGTTGCTGTATTTTTCAAAAACCATACGCAATATATCATACTTGTATCTCAAATATCTTGCTTCTTTGAGAATACCTGTTTTTCTCCCAGTCCAGGAACAAGATTTTTGGAAGTCTGTTACAATCAAAAGAAATGTTACTTTATGAGATCTTTCTTTTTCCTTCTATTAGGGTTTCTATAGAAGCAACATCGCATTTCCATGGCAAATTCACCATCTCCAATGATGTACTGGAATTGTAAGTTGCAAATATTTGTCACCACTGTAATGACAAAATGATGAGAAGAATCCAATTGATCTGAAGTATCCATTTAGAATAACTTAAAAATCTAAATTTGGAATCTAATAATACACAAGGATGATAATAAAAGCAACTGAGAAGGTAGCATAATTGCCAGTGTCTGCCTCCACCTTTTAGCAGAGCACTAATTTCAGAAAAGCAGGTTTATTACGTAGAAAAAAAGAAAGCTAAAATTTAAACTGGAGAAGTGATTGGTCTCTCCTGTTTGGAGCATATACAAACTATAAACACCACGCATTATTACAATACAAGTTACATAGCACTAGAAGAGTATGAAATCAACTAAATGCAGAAATACAGAAACAGTGGTGTAGGGGTACTCTGGCAGTCCCCTAGTCCAGCCTCCTATCCCAAGCAGAACTGCTGCCAACAGTCCAGGTCAGTCGTGGTTTAACCAGCAGAGTCTCACCAGCTCCTGAGGACGGAGGTTCTGCCGCCTTGCTGTAACCCATCAGAGTGCAAAACTAACCTCCCGGTGGAGCTTCCTGCAGTGTCTAGTCTGAACCTCTTAAGCTGCCATGTGAGGCTGCTGCCACTTGTTGCACTGCTTGGCATGGGTATGCAGAGTTTGGCACTCACCTAATCAAGCAGTTGCAGGCTGCTGATCACCACATAGCATCCCCTTGCTCAACTAAATAAGCCCAGTTCTCTCAATGTCTCCTCCTACTCCATGTGCTAACCCTAACTGTTATTTCAAATATATGCCTAAGAACTGAAATCTCCCTATTTTTTTCCACTATTTAACACAAGTTTTGACTGGAAGTAACAAGAATTTTTAGAACGTAGAGCAGCAATAAAGAAAAGGCAGATGGGTTTGGTGTAAACAATGTCCAGACTAAAGAGATGCACAGGAGAACAGTCATGATAATTTTCCTGTGACGTGCTCTGTTGACTTGGGATTCAGTACATAAGCACAGCCAACAATGAGTGCTCCAGTAATGGATCCTAAGGAAATCTCATCTTGGATGAATGAACACTAAAATGCACTAACGAGGGCACAGTTGTAAGTATTTATTTTTGTCACTAAACCCAGTAGTAGTATTCCAAAAATACAAAAAAATAACCCCTAGACATCATCAATTTCCATAAGAAAAAACCCGTAACATTTTACATTTAAGAGATGCTTATCACACACAAATAATGTGAACTGTTAACACGTCACATGCTTCTAGCAACAGGCAAAATCCCCTTCAAAATAAAGCAGCATGCTTTTTAAAAATTCAGACATTTTTATGCAAAAAACAGCCCCAACCCCTCCACAAACCTATTTGCCATTAAGTAACTCTGAATGCTTTTACAGTATTTACTCTTTCAGAGTATGAAAAGAAAGCCCACAGTTAGTAAGTTTGCTGTATTCAGCACAGTATGACAACAAGCATTACACTCACACTATTCAAACCTTGGGCATCATCTGCATCGGAAACAACGCTTCCCCTGCGGTTGGAACGACTAAAATAGTCAGCAGCAGTTTCACTTTGATCAGAAAAATCAGAGGACTTGAAAAGACAAGGAGAAAGGTGAGAGAGCTGAAGATGATAGCGCAGAATGAACAAGAGTTTATTTTAAAAAAACCAAACATTTTAACATGTAAAACCTTACTCTTCTAGATTTTTGCTAGTTTAAATGTGTCTACATTAATAAAACATGTGCCACACCAATATGAATTTTTTTGTCAGCATATGCACTGTTTTTAAAACACTCTCTCCACGTGTTCATTACCCTTATAGTTTACAGCATCTAAAACTAAAAGCAATGAATATTTATTATTGATTCATTTTCCTTATTTAGAATTATATATTAAAAAATACAATCAGAAATACAAAAGGGTTTAGTACTAACTTAGTGCTAAACACAAGCTACAAAAATTATGTTTTTTTTTAAAAAAAGGTTTGTAGATCATTAAAACAGATTATATAATCAGAACTTGATAAAAGCTATTTTTCTTTACAAACGTTGTCTTTTCTTCAAATCAACACAATCCCAACATCACTAATTACGAACATGGTCTGGGCTTCCTCTCATTCACAACTTTAAGAGACCTTACTAAAGAAGACAAGCTTGCTCCCCAAAGCTGTATGTCAGACAGGCACCTAAAAAGGCGAGGGAAAAATCTAATGCTACACATCACTGGTAAAAAAAGGCAAAACGTATCTAACCACATTACAGTAATTACAACTGCCATTGGAATCCAAGTGAAATATTTAACTGAGAAAACACTATGCACCTTAAACATAGTATTTAACAAGAAAAGCAGGTTTATCAGAAGTGTTGTACTGATAACATTCTACTTCAAAAGGCAGTAAGTTACTGTGAACATTATATTTAATATTAAAAATAAATGAACAGTTTGAAAACTTATTGTCCTTATCCAATTTTCACCATTTCAAAAAACAATTTTTAATTTCTTCGTACTTGATGTGCATGAGTGATGCAGCCTCATCTTACTCCAATTAAAAGTCAGTCAGATGTCTTTTATGCAAAAAGTTACATATATAACAGTTTGCTGATGAACACCTGTCTCAGATTATGCGTGTTTAGGACTTCAGAATGGGTATTTCTGGTCACTGCTAGGTTATGTTCTATTTCTCTGACAAAGAATTTTCCAGGTATAACTATATCTACATTTTAAATAATCACTTTATTTTTTAAAGAATTAACAGAGGAAATAAGTTTCTACAGTCAGAAATTTGGCTAAACTTTCTTAGTTAACTTGCATTTCACAAAGTATAAAGATGCCGAACAGAATTCTGCTTCTATGCATTACGCTTACAGTGAAAGAACAAACAACTCAAGGGCTACAAACAGTCTATGACAACACTGTGCTGCTCTTCATTTTCAACCTTTGCTGTTGAAAAGTCCATACATCTGAGAAACCTTACTGTTCCTCCTATGCCTATGGTAATTCTAGTATCTTTTTTTCTCCGTGGGTGTATCAAAACTGATAGTTTAAGATGGAGATGCACCATGTAGTTTTTCACCAGTGTTTTCTACTCTGTTTCCATCTTCTCTCGTATTTTCTCTTTTGATTGCCAGTGAGTATTGCACACTACCCAGTGCGAAACCAAAATATTAACCACAGAAACAGCAGCAAGTTACAAAGAATTTTACTTCATCTGCTTTTCAGGATTATTTCCTTAAACAAATATTTCAAACTCTACTAAACACTCACTAGTGTGAGTGAATGGTACCTTGGCATTACTCATACCACACAGACAGACTGCGATCTGATATACATATTTTCCTATATATGTACAGAGCATACACTTCTGAGAAATTAATATTAAGAGAAACTAAGGAGACAAGTAGTATTTTCACAGTTCCAGAGACTTTACAGACAGATGTCAACACCTCTGAGGTTTTGGAATTTCATAAAGTGACAGCAAATTTCCCTTTTTCCTACACCTTCAAAAATTCACTCTGACATCTGTTGTAGCTAAAACCGCCCAGTTTCTGACAAATCTGGTTTTATTTGTTTAGTCTCTATAACATCATTAAGAATACGTGAAAAATGAAAAAAAGGACCAAACATTTCAATTTAAACTATACCAGAACATAGATCTACTACTTCTGTGTAGCATGACAAATGAGCAGTACCAACGAAACCAAGACAGTTGTTCTGCATCAGAATCAGAGTAGAACTATTCTTAAATCACTTTGCAGCACAAAAAGCTGTCTTTGAATGACACTTTTGAACAGTACAGATCCAGGAACAAATTTCTCTCAGTTCTGAATACTGGTCATCATAAGAACGAGCCAGCTACTTCTTACTGCACGATATAACAAAGTTTGCATTAGTCCTTCTCCCAAAAAGAAAGACTTTTTCACATGTATCGTTTCAACAGTTTCACGTGCCTACCCCAACTATGACATAAAGTGGTGACCCCAACAAGGCACTATAGTCCAGTTTCCAATTGCTTCCAATTATATACATTACAAACATTTAAAAGATGTTTGGGAAACTGAATTCCTTACTGCTTCCACACTTTACTGCCTTGCTGACAAAACTTTATATCTTGCAAAAATCCACATCTCAGACAAATTACGGTTTTTTCATGCAGAACTGAAAAAACGAGTTTGTGTGTTTATCAGTAAAATGATGCTCAGTGTAAACACTCATAATTGTTGTGCATTAGTATCAAAGCATTCAGCAAATCATGCAGGAGGAATGCTCACCGCAGGACTACTTCGAACTGAGCTTGCTCTTGAAGAATAACTGTATTCAGATGGCTAAATAAAAGTTATGAAGGAAATTTTCACAACTTTCATAATTTTTGTCTCCAGAAAACAAAGATAATGAAAGAAACAACCAAAAACCTATTACACTTACAGTGCGAGAACTATATGAGCTATGTAATCCATCACGACACAAAGACGCCTGAGAAAGAGGGAATGAAATACTGTTTATTCAGTCTCAGAAGTAATTATGCCACACTCTTACACACTGTAATGTATTCTGTCATATCCCATTTATGCATTTTCCAGTTAAGATTATACTTTTTGAAGCACAGACTATTTTTTAGATTTCCAGCAGCATTTCCTCCTATGATTAGGAATGTCTATTTCCAAATACAAATCTAAGAATTTCGCTGAAGAATAGCCAAATAGTTTTTAAAAAAAAAAAATCTTAACTATTTTCAGAAGAAAAGTAAATTAAATATTTTAATTGCAATTTCGTTTTCATTGTTCTGAAGCCTTCTGAAGTTTCAACCCACCCTGGGAACTGAAGCTATATTGTACACTTTGCAGTTCTACTTTATGCTCACCCACGCAGGTTTTCCTGAAGGAGAATGTTTCAAGGTGCAAGGCTGCAATCTATTTATGCAGTGGATAATACAAGCAGCTCTGGGCGACACAATTAAAAAAAAAAAAAAACCAACAAAACAAACCAAAAATTACAGTCTCATGCTGCTTTCCCCCCACCTATGAAAAGATCTCTAATAAAAATTAGAATTCTGTGTATCTTAGAATTATACGTAGTAGCAGTCATTACGGTCTTGTTCTCTCACAGGATCTTCTAGTGTTTTCTCAAAGATATACACAAAGCAAAAATTTAAATTATGTCTGTTCACAATCCAAGCACGGAACAAGACCTCACTAAGTACATAAAAAGGTTACATAAGAATACTTGATGATTTTCTACATCAGTTTAGCACACCTCTAAACCGCAGTATAAACCGTAGCAGCAAAAGGCATAAAGCTTCAGGCATGCATGTCACAATTGAAGGACACCAACTTTTTGTAGTTATCTTAGCCACGCTTATGGCACATGTGGCTACTTTTTATTTTGTAAAGATGCAGTTAGGTTTCCATCCTATTACATTTTTGTACGATTATTAAATTTAAATATGGCATCTCATTTGAAAGTATTTAAAGTGTATTTACCATGAATTTCTGTAATCTCCTGACAATGATTTTTTTCCTGTTCAAATGCTTAACTTCTTTAAATATCTTTTTAATATTATACATGCAGTTGTTGTTTAGTATGCTTGGATTAAATTGTTCTAAACCCCAGTGTTCTTCAGCACCACTGTTGTATTCATAAACTTTATGCTTGTCTGTAAAAAGATCAGTAAAACAGCAACGACTAAAATACTTTAAAAAATAATTTAACAATGTTAAAAACAAACTGAATGTCTTCACAAAACAATACACAAACAAGCTGCAGTTTATTTAAAAACATGAAAAAAATCACATGTAATACTGTCAAGCCTCATGGCCATAAAACACAAATTTAAGGCAACCATGCAAATGGTGCTTACGAACCAAACTGATACTTCTTATCAAACCAGTGTTTACAGGAGGAGACACCTATGAAGGAAAGTGTAATTTTATATTTGAGGGCCACTCAAACATTAAAAAATAAGCTAAATACTATTTTCCATTGTACTAACCCTGTAACTCCTAGTTGTTGCCAGTGGATCGCTGTATAGAGAAGATGACTGTAGTGTGAAGAATAGAAAAAAATCAGAAACACTTTTTCTGCGTACATTAAACTTTTGTATCTATTGATCTATATTCACCGAAAGTTCTAAAGATTGAAATACTAAATTTTACATCTATAATATACAGGAACTTTAAGAAAAGCGCGGACAAACACTCCAAGAAAAAACATCATCTTTGAAATCACAATCTAAAACATTAGTTAAAGCAATCTAGTGTTTTTATCAGAAGATTTGTAGAAGAGAATGATAAGAAATTAAGTAGTTTTCAAAAGACCCGTCAATTTCCTCTAGTTACTTATTTAAACCTGACCATGCCAGTTGCTGGAGGTACTGAAAGATACTACCCATCTCCCAACAGACCACTGATTTATCATTTATATTACTGTAAAAGAAAGTAGTACATTGGTGATAAACTTTTAAGACCTTTTGTTGTTGTTTTTTAAAAACAGGGTTTTGAAAAAGCAAGGGTCACAGTTGCTAAGTTGTTCTCTTTATATCATACAGCAATCACAAAACAGACGTTATTTTAAACTTAAAACTCCACATATGCACAACAGTAACTTGCATATTATCCATTCATTTTATAAAAGGCGACCTTTAAAAGCAAGAAATACAATTATAACTACTATTAGCTGCAATAATTTGCAGTGTTATAGAAAGAAAGAGAGAGATGTTTGCTTCATATAGTATAACTAAGCAAAAACAAAGAGATGTATTTTATATGCATTACAAAATTAACATAGCAAGAGGAGACAGACCCGAGCATGGTAGGAAGGAAGTGGTTTACTATATCTAAGGCTGCTATAATTTCTTTGATCATAGTAAATTCCACTCTGTGGGAGGAAAAAAAAGAAGAGAGAAAATGAAGATTGCTTCTGTAACTAAAAGTTCTATCTCAACATTGCTCAAATGTTCCCAAGCTTAGAACTTGCACAGAACACTGTAATAATTTTCCCTATGGTTGACCCCAAATCCATATAACTTTCTGAAGCAAGTAAAGCATGCAAAAACTCCAAAGCTACTTACATATTCTATATATCAGCATTATCTGTATTTTTAATGCCATGCCCAAAGTAGTAAATTGTTTTGGTTTTTTTTTTTCTCCCTGATAAGAAAACCCTGAAACGTGTATCTAAACCCTGACAAATGCAGCATGAAATACATGAAAAACGTACTTGACAAAACTTGATAATAATTAGTACAATTATTTGCTTGATATCCCCCCCCCCCCCCCATTAAATACCATCCTGAATCAGAGTATTTTGGGGAGAGAGGACAGAAACCCCTAAGAATTTGATAGGGGATAGACGTTTATCTATCAGCATTACTCTGTACCCCAACACTGTTATTTACACCAAGCACGCATGCTGAAAGCCTAGTGATCGAACTTTGGCTTATTTCCCGGTTTTTTTGACACTTCCTAAACAAATTGTATATATATGCATATGTGAGGAAAAAAATTATAAACACCTATAAAGAACGAAAAACAGAGAGAAGACGACATGGCAAAAAGTAGTGCTTTCAGAATGCAGCACTTCATACCTCAATAGGCCACAGGAGGCAGAAAGAGCCATATTACACATTTAAGAACTGAGGGAACAGGAATACAGCACCTCAAAAGTGCTCAGAGAAACGCTGTAATAATTATAAGTAAATACAAGAATTATTTCAGCGTCCCAACTTCTGACACAACTGCTTATTCATCAGTGCCAAAACCCTCGGAAGAATTACATCCAAAATACTTAATTTCTTAGCACTATAGTCACATGTCACGGACTGAACTTTCTAGAATAGTTTTGGGAAGACCACAATAATCCAGATGTGTTTCTCAACAGTTCACTGGCTTAATGTCAAGGTTTACGGTAAATTCATTCTGCTTTACATCTACATTAAAATATCTCTAACTGATAGGAGACAAAATGTAAATAATAGAACACATATCTCTATCCTGACTGAATAAACTTTAATCCAGAGAAGTGCCACTTCTAAATATTTCCAAGAGCCTTCCCCAGGCCTCCAACAGAAATGTAATGTCTGTTCAGCTGATTCCATTCATGGGATTTCACTGCCAGAAACAGTTTCAAATACTCAGCTTCAGGTCAGAATTTGGTCAATACTAGAGGTTTCCTTCTTCCCCGAAAACATTTATGCATCTGTCAGCAAGCTAATAAATTTATCCATAACTGTATCAGTATGTAATTCTACACAGTTAGTATATTTATAACAAATATAATAGAAAACTAACCAATAAATCTTTATGGGAATAAGCAGCTTTCTTCTTTGAACTATGAGATTCACTGTAAACATGACTCTAAGAATAAAATTCAGAAAATTAATACCACTATAATAGCATCTTTGGTCTTAAAATATAAAGAAGTCAAACATAAGGATTTAAGATTTTCATCATCTACAAAAACACCACAGAAAATTTTAACTACATGATTAGAATAATGTAGTTAGCCACACTCCTATCACTATGCAAAAAATAATCTGATAAGCGAAACTTTATCTCTGATTAACACAGACTTGCCTTAAACCAGTGTTCACATTTCACAAGAAAATGTAAAACCAATTAATAAACTAGAAAAGCTTAACATTACAGACTATTTTAAGCACTATATTGTGTTTGCCTATCTGTAGTCAAATCAGTTTAAGCTGCTTACATATTCCTTTTAGTGGTACTTGGTGCTTGTCTTTGCTTAAGGAGACACACACAGATCTTACTTGGCACAATGCCAATGAGAACAGGATACACTCTACTACTACTTCATAGTAATAAAAAGGAATTTCAAGTAAAGGTATACAAACCACCTGCTTTTTCTCAGGACTGAAATAATTTTCTATTAGACTAAGTTAAAGTTTCTATATGGAAACAGAGAATATAAATATATGCATATGTACACTTTTTTTTAAAAAAAAAACAACTATGTCCTCCAAGTCTAATCTGTATATGTCACTTCACTAAAATGTTTAGAAGTAATAGATAAATACTAAAAAGTGCTTACTGTAAGACAGCTGTTTGTAACACGTGACTTCATTAGATTTTCTCCCAGAAAGGGTTTATACATGCATTCTATGGGAAGTGTTAGAATTGTACTGCTATTCTAGGTCTGAAAGTGTGATAGCACAAATCTATATACTTTTTTAAAATCAATAATTCAAAGCAGCTAGTTAGTGTCATCACACCTTAAAAACAAAGCACAAAAGCAGATTTCACTCAAAACATGCAAAGTGTTAACATACTGGGACCGAGTATCTTGCAGATCTATCCTTAGCACTGTCAGACTGATGTAAAAGAAAATGAAATTAAAATTATGACGTCAAAAAAGCCCAGTTTTTTTTCAAAGAATGACTAAAAAGACTTAAAAGGAAATTACAAGGAAACATTCTACTGATTATGAAAATTTATACATGAAGGAATGCCATTTATCCAATCTAAACGGCATCCTGAGGCTGGAACAGTTTTTAATAAAAACTAATTTCCCTCTCCCCTCCCATTCCAATTTCTGAAAAGTAAGATAATTTTGGACAGCAGTGGGTTATGTGAAATACTTCATGTGGTTTTGTTAACAGAACTTTAAATAAGAAAAGTCTCATATGGTAGATTCTATGAAACTGAGACAGTATTTGTCCAGTTATGTGATAAAAGGCTCACCTCCGCACAGGCAAAGGAGCCCAGAGGACCATCACAGTGTGAAACACACCACCACGTGGGGGCTCTCCAGGGCACCTCACAGACTGATGGGGGTTACTGCCTACAGGGCATGGAAGACATCATGGGATGCAGGGGAAGAGCATCTTGGGATCAGGGGAGGAATGAAAGGTGGGGAAAGGGAGGGAATAAAGGTGTTTTCAGAAGGAGCAAGTGTGTGAAAAAGGAGGAACAGTGGGATGACACGGCCACCTGCGTGTCTACCAGACTTGGCAACTCAACAACACTTATGAAAACACCTGGTAAAATAGCTTGGCAAGGGTCCCCATGTTTATTGACATTCAACAATGGCAAAATTTGTGGAGTTTACACATCTGCTTTTTTAACATACAAATCTTAAGTTTTCAAAGCAAGCTTGTTTTTCCCAGTTCATTGAAAGTTTCACAGGTGTAACTTAGCTGTTCTGACTGTAGTACCATCCTAAACTTTCTTAAAACACAAATCAAAGCTAGTGCAAGAACACTACAAGATATACTAACAGCATGATAGAGTATCACCTGGTGTAAATTTCAACACAAGAATTACTGAGGGGATTACAAGAAAAATAAGTTGTTCTTGTCTATTGATACATCTGAAAATTCCTTCTAGAGATCAAATTAAAACCAAAAATTCCCTAGGTTGAGATTTTCTATTTGTTTATAAATTAAAACAGGCCAGGTTTAGTTTACATTATTTCCTAATGTTTTCATATTATCTCAATAGTTTCAATATCTCCAGTATTGATACTACACTAAATAATAATTTAATACTATTTTATTAAATAACTATTAAACAATAATTTAATATTAATGTAATTTACAGGCTATGGTACTTTTTGTGTTGCTAAAAAATAGGACCCATAGGACACTATACCAGTTTTAACCAAGTCAAACATTTATTTTTTTATTAAAACAGTTTTCGTCTTTAGTTACCACCTACCAATAAGCAACCTTGCTATTGGAAAATGGAGATGGATCACTCTGATAATGATTATCATCACAACACTTAACTTACATCTTGACTATTAACAGCTTAACAGTCTACTAACAAATATTTAAGTTGCTTAAACTAGGAATACCACAAAACAAAGAAATACCCATTTCTGAAAAAGTAAAATTTCTGTTTGTATTCCAGCCTTGACTGCAGGACTAACATCACAACACCATTGAAAAAAAAGGTTTCCTCACATAACTTTCAGCAGCATCTTTGTACCTACCCCAGCTGATGCACAGCCTTTGTCACTTACTTTTACTACTCTTTTGGGGACATTAGAAGAGAGACTGGAGAGACTAATTCCCTTCAGACTAAGTTATCTTCAAGACAGAAGACTTAACATTCCCTTTGAGCCCTCAAACTCGCTATCACAAAGCGTTCAGTTAAATCGGTCAATGCAGCAGTTCAATCAATACAGTTTTCTATAAAGAAAAAGTACTGCTTTGGTAAGTAACAAAGAAAGTGTTATAATGTGAACACATGAAAGCATGCGCATTCCAGGCTACACACCACAAGATCTCTCCTTCTGGAGGTACTTGCTCTGCTTCTGTGAGACCCACTGACATCCAAAGAACTCTTCAGAATGAAATTGTAAAAAAAAAAATCAATAAATAAAATAATTTAAAACATCTAATGGTAACTGTTAATCTTCACTGAAAGGCACAAAATAACCAAGGCAGTCAAAGAAATTCTGGGCAAGCCCTCCCCAAAATGAGCTCAGTTATCTGCTGAGTTCAAGCCCTATTCTTTAGTCCAGGGGAAATAATCTCTGTCTTTGCATATTTTCTACATTAGCCAAGGCAAGAGCAGATCTGAGCAAACCTGTACCAGCTGACAAGTTTGTAAGTGTTGCCACATAGTATATTTTTCATGCTTCTTCTGTAAATCATTTACTGTTTGCAAAGTAGTCAACATCACCTGATTTAAATGATTTATTCGGTAAAAATGTGTGTGATAAACTGCAGAATCACTTAACACCAGGACTTGCAAGATATTACACAAAATTCAGTTAATCAAAGATTACATTTAATTGCTGAAATCTCTTAGTAAATGACAATCACTTTTTTTCCTGGAAGCCACACAAAACCCCAGCTTATTCCACCTCTCAAAACAAACAAAACCAACCCTTTCATTTTAGTAATTTGACCCTCTCCTGGCCTACATATCCAGATCAACGACAGGCTAATTTCCAGGCAGACCTACTAAATACAGGAAAATGTTTACAAACCCTCAATAAAACCACTCTTTAACACTCTATATGACCTAAAAAGGATATAGGAGAGCCTATACAATGCAATAAAAACTTCTGGTACCAGTCTTTGGAGTACTGTGCATCATTCAGGTAAGACTTTGCCACTAACAAATAACATATCCCCATATTCTCAATGAAATAAAACCCAGCATCCTACCAAACTCTTCTTCAAATTGTATCTTGATGGTACTACTTTTTCTTCCACAAATATTATAGAAACACAATAATACTTAAAAGTGCAAGAAAAGACACAACAGTGAGCAGATGACCATCAGCATCAGTTTGGAATGAAAGCCCAAGCTACAAATCAGTGCTACCCATCTTCAATAAGCGGCACTGATTCAAGATGACTCAGTCAGCAGCAGTATTTACTTTATTAAATAAGATTTGCCTGTTTGCAGAATTTCGAGAGAGTGATTTTTTCCATTAGACTTATCTAAACCAGCCTAGTGTTTGATCATTAATAGCACCTTCACATCTGACCATGAGATCTGATGTGCAGTAGTAATCAGAAGACAACTGACAGCTTATGTAGGAATCTTAACACTCTACCATGTCAAGACAAGCCAATTAATTCTTACTAGTTGGCAACATCTGAAGCCTGAGTACAATTACTCAGCTTTAAAAGAATTAGACTGAATAACACTAAAAGACAACACTTAAAACTTGTCATTAAACATATGTTATTTCAAATAATTGATTGTTGAACTACATATATTTCCCAACACCTACTCTATTTTCAGCAATGAAAATACACTGGAAATAAACATACATAGAAAAGAAAAAAAAAGCCAAAGAATTGTGTGAAACAGTCAAAGAATTGCCAGTGTGACAACTGAGATTCTTCTAAATGCAAAGATTGAAATACATATAAACAAACCACCTTGTTAACATTGACGGAAATAAAATACCAGATGAACTTTAACATTATATGTGACTCAAAATACTGACTCTAAAACTGCTAACACTTGGAAGACTTAAAGCATCATCTGCTCCTTAAGAAAATGAAACCAAAACTCAAACTTTTTTTTTGTTAAAGGCCACAATGAAAAAGTACACAGTTTGAACACAAACCAAGTATGAATGTCGACTGGACCGGTGAGAATACCTGGCCCTCTCTGAATCTTCCTGAGAAAGAAGAAATGCAGAGTTATTTCATTAAAAAAAAAAAAAATAAGATGACAAAGTAAAAGTAAGCAAAGGTGAGCAACATGCTGTTAGTACTTTTAATGCCATGTATTATTTTGTATTGTGGCAAGCGAACTCATTCAAGTCAAAACAACTGTGATTTCATGCGATTTGGGTAAGTACGCCAACACACTACCTTAGGAGATGTAAATAAAGGGGGTTAATACAATGCATAATTGATATTCAGTAGTTAATGTTTCTTCCAATTACTGTATTAATGCAGAAAAAAGCACAAGATTTTAAAAGAAATCAAAATGAAAAAAAAATAAAAGCTTTACAAAATTATATTAGTAACAAATTTACTATATAATTACTACAGTCAGATTCTGAACATTTTAAAGTTATTTTGGCCCTAAGAGATGATCATGCTCAGTTTCCTCATACATATTTCAGATTTTCTCCTCTATTATAGGAACAAAGCTTCTTAAGCAAATTGATCAATTATAAGTTCTATAGGTAGTTCTGCTCTACAATCACAGTGAAAACTATAAACGCAACTTATACAATTTGGGGGAGGACAACTAGCTAAGGCACCTTAATACCTTTCATCCTGTTGAAAGCTCAGAGAATGGTCATTTTGTCTCAAAGGGATATGCAAGAAGCAGCAGGACAGAAATACAATTAACTTAAAATTAAACATTAAAATGTTTCATGTGCCATAAGCTTTTCAAATTTTTACAGTACAGTTTTACAGTACAATTTTTACAAGTTAAGAATAACCTTTATTTTAAACTACCCGATTTGAATGCGACAACAGGGCTCTCAAACTAGGAATCCTTCCTTAAATGACTCGCTACAGTTTTCAACTCAAACTATTTCCAAGATTGTAAGCCAGTTATCTTTAAAGTTAAAAGCTCGGCCTCCAGATCATAGATGGATATCAAAGTCTAAAGCTGGCTTTAATAGTTTATGGTCAAGTTTTTTTCTACATTAACAACGGATCATCAACTTGTTTAATATTATTTTGTGACTATGCAAGAGGCCTAGTTAAAACTCTGCAAGAAAATATTTTAATTTCCCAAAGAGGAGAAGAAAAAAAAAAGGTTAATTTCATAATGACATTTTAGTCTTCCTTTCTATAGTGTCTACTTTGAGGTTTAAAACAAACATTTACGCTATGTAACTCTTCAACTCTTCAGACCACTGCCTATTTTAAATATACTTTGTGCCTGTGGTCTATATGGACAAATACCTGTTAACAACATTTGCAGCTTGCAAGAAGTTTGCTATTTATATAATATTCTTCTTCATTGCCAGTATAACACCCCAGCTAATAATATGCTTCTAATAATGCAAAACTTCAGCTTCTGATAGTTTTCTGTACATATCTGTAGGTAATTCACTTAGGGTGACAAGTCTCTTCCTGACATACAATTAGAAAATAGAAAGCCAGTGTTAAATGTTCAGCATATACAGGTCGAAGGATAAAGTAAGTACTACAGCACATACTGCAAACAGATAGCTGCTGCTGGTAGCTATCCAGCTTGATTTCTAAGAATTTAAGTTTGAAATATGCACTTAATCTAAGACAGAGCTTAGGCCTCCCCATCCAGGAAAGGAACGCACATTGGCTCAGAAACCTCCTGCAGCAGATGTGCCTCTTTTGAGTGCAAAAAGAAGGTGGCATTTAATTGGGTGGCATTAATTTCTAAGTGAGATTGCTCACAAATGCAATCCGAGTTCCACAGTCTGGAAACCCTTGCTCTCCAGCAAAAAAAGTGTTCAAATGTGCATTCCACCAAGAGGTAAGAGAAACCTATGTTGTTCTTTATAAGACATGAGAACTAATATACACAGAAATGTCAGCTAGGCGAAGAGGCAACAAAGTCAGCACAACTTTTGCAAATAAAATTCTAATGCCAGTTCTAGGATTTCTCAACAGAAGAGCTGAATAACTGTCACAGTAGCTTTAACTATTCGAAATTATGGTTAGTCACAGCATGTATTACTGAGATTGTCTTGATTCAAAACAGCCACACAATGAACACTTCCCCAAAAACATAAAAAGAAACTAGCATCTCCCATGTGCCTTTTTTAGAGGCACATGAAGTTTGTGAAAGGAACTGTCCAAAGAAACATTGCTGTAAATTAGTATAAATTGAACAGCAGCTTTCTCAGATTGTAACTCGAGTATCTCTACTCCTTCCTACTTAGTGGATTTAATGTAAAGAAATGAACAGTCAAATATTTTATTGTTATTAATTGAAAATGAGGAGCAAGGTGTAAAAGGATGCAATGATGCACAGGGTGTGTTTTTGTGGTTGGACTTCATTTTTTTTAAAACATATTTTACAATTAATTTTGGGGAGTCATAAAAGTGACTTAATCACCAGTGAAAAGACTAGCATTTACCATATTACTCAGAGAGGAAACAAATAAATGTAAGACTGCTAAGGAAAAAAAAAAAAGTAAAAACCCCAAACCCCAGAAGGTAACTGAAATAAAAACATTTACTATTAAAAAGATGTTTACCTAGATTGCAACTAACACAATTTCATTTTAAATAGATTCATGACTAAGCCAGCACATGGTGGAAACAAAAAACATTTCCTTTTAAGAAAAGCATCTCACTTTATAGTTTGTCTTCTGCTGCCATAAAGTACCCTGCATATCCACATCCGTATATAATTTATAGGCAATTGTTTTCAGTAACAGAACACTTGGAAATGACACAGCAAACCATTAGTAAATTACTACTTTTCCCAATCCTCTGTTAGTTCTCCGAATGGCACAAACATGCACAACAGGTGCTTTTAGCCTACCATCCATTTCTGGATATGAGCCCATTTTCTATCATATGAATGCTGAGAAAACTACAGAATGTAAAAACAAAAACAAATAAACCATTTACAATATAGATTAGGCACCACACAAGACTGGATTCCTAAATCAAAAATTTGGAAAAAAATATAATCCAAGTTAATCGCCATGTAATCTTCACTATAATATCAGATACCTACAGCAGTTAGAAAATGGAAAGTACGGAATAATGAGAACCACATAAAACCAAGGCAAAAACATGTTTTGTAAATTGCATTTTATATTACCACAAGTGAAAAAACCCACCAAATATCAGCATTTTCATGGATTTGAATGTAATAACAATAAATAATAAATTCTCAATCTTTTGCATGCTATGTCAAAACCTGAATCAAATCCAATAACCATGAAATAACCAGACTGATGAAAATCTAGCTCCTAGGGCTTTTTGCTCGTGACATGCAAGCTTTTTTTTTAGGAGAAATTACTAGAGTAACACACAACTGTATGCGTACATATTACCCCAATCATTTTTTTAAATAAAGATCCTGACAATAGGTATTTTTTGTGATACTTTCAGTATAATTCTTATGGGAAAAAATTGACAGAAAGCTGCATATCCAACATCACATATCCAAATTATTCATTTATTAAGTGTATTAGTTGTTTATCCTATACTTTAGGCAGTGTACATCTTGGATATGGTCGTGTTTATTATTTATATTGTGCTGCCAGTTATCCGTATTTACATAGACCTTTTGCACAGCAGTAACAAGCAAAGAAACTGCCACATGTGCTAATTTTTCTTATAAAACCATGAAACTCACCAGGTGACTCGGCCACAAATCTAGCAATTAAAATCCATGCAATATAAAATTTCTAACGTGAAGCTGAAAACTGTTCCTCTCTATTCAAAATTATTTATGCAAACCTGAGTTCTGGTCATCTGCATTATGTTGTCTCTTGTGCTTGTTTAAAAACCAAATAAGCGATAATAAAAAAGCCTCAGCCCTTTACATACCTAAAGATAAACATTAAGATTAATCTTTGTCCAATTTTAATCACTAGCATTGAATTTACTGCATTTGTAAGAGGTAAAACATCCAAACATCTGATGTTTCCTGTAAAGCTAGAATTTAAAATCACATTAAAAATGTGTTATTTTTCATTTGAAAGCAAGAGTGCTAATAGCCTATTTTGTACAGCAGATTTTTTTTCCACAATGAGTGTAACTATTAAGGAAGCTCAAAATGAGTTCAGATTAATGTTTTGTGAAGTGCTATTGACAGGTAGTTATCCTTTTAGATATATAGCCTAAGGGGAAAGAGAAGAGTATGGGGGGAGACAGAAGATAACAGTTGCCTGATGCTGAAAATACTAGCACACAACTGAATTACACCTAAAGACAAAATCTGATGCAAGTTCAGAAATAAGATACATTATGGATTTTAGTAAAGGTTTGCAGTAATTCCCTGATGATTTACACTACCTCTTTTTGCTGTCGTTCCAGCTCTCTCATACGTATATCTCTTGCTTCTGCTCGAGCTGCCCGTTTGGCTGCAAGCCTGGCTTCTGCCTACAAGCAAAGTGAAAATACTGAAAGTTAAAAACACATTATTTCATATAATGGTTTGAGTACTCCATCTCTTCACACAAAACACACAAAGATTATAATATCGCAATACACAAGTAGTAAAGAAATCTGGGTTCTCAAAATGAAATTTTAGAAAGGATATATACCTAAGTCTTTACAGTCAAAAGAACTACATGTTGATAAAGAGCCGAGTTCAAAAATATTACTATCACTAAGTCTAAAATTCATGTCTCGTGGACTTTAACAGGACTTTGTCTATGCATAGTATTTAAACAGGCACACATGCAGCTGCAGATTCTTTGGCCACAGAAAGAAATTAAAACAACAACAAAAGAATCAAAACAAAGATATTAAACCACTACCATTCATGTCATATTTAAAGGCTCTGCTATCATTTGGAATTATTTCAAAAAGCAAACATCACTTCGAAATTAGAAGAGAAGCTTCCCTCCATGTTGAGGAAGGAGAAGCACAACATTTGCCTCCATGGTGAAGACAGGCGTCTGCCTCCTTCCTTTGCTTGCAAGAATGAATTCACTAGAAAGCAGTAATATTTTGATTTTGATTTTCATACTGTAGGGAAGGCGATTCATTAATTAGCTCAGATTCCACATGAAAGCTTCAAAAGGATAAAATATGGGCTACACTACAACATGTAATTCACCTCTGAAAAAATATGAATGCTTTTCATTGAAAAATTAGAATTAGTCATCATGGGCTACAATACATATAACTTACTCCTCTCCCTGTCAAGGGATAGACAATGTTTACAGTCCTGCAGCTTCCAATGCAGGAGGGCCAGGCAAGGAAGGTTTTCCTTCTCCCACCAGAAGGCAGGGATGAGGGGTCCAGCTGCCCCTGCTGAGGTACCTGGCATCATTTCTGCCACAGGGCATTGGACAGAACACCAGGACATTGTGCCAGCTCCAGCAGAGCATCAGGATGAACCCAACAAAACATCTATTTACTGTCTCATGGACCCAAGGCAACACATCACTTGTGGACCAAATTATTTCTTATGCCTCCTCAGAAACATCTTTCTTCCACTTATTTCTGATGTGCCTACTCTTTCGCTATTTGCCTAGAAAGCAAAGACTATAAACAAGAAAATCTTAAGGTTTACCTGCCTTAAAGGTTTAGGATTCTTTATTTCTGATGTCACATTCTTTTTCCATTTATTATACAGCTCCATATATAGATTAGAAAAATCTCTGGAATACCTTATCTCCTACACAATATCCTTAATCACTATTAAAAATTTTGAAGTCAGCAGATCTCTTACTAACAAAAAAATTAAAAAACACCTATCTCCTGAAAATATTTGAATATGAAAAAAGAATTTTGAATTAATATTAAAGTGACTTAAATATTTTTAAGTGATCTCTTATTAGAATATCAATTCAAAAATCATCTAGCATCTACAAAGACAATCTCTGTACGAGGCTGGGGTTCTTTGAGGTTTTCTTTGTTTTCTTAAGAAAAGCTACATCAGACAAACATATACTGAACTTTGAATTGATTCAACATGACTAAGACCATGTTGTTACCTGTTTTTAAATTCATAATATAGACTTCGAACAGTTTAAAATATTGAACTCTTGGCCTTTTCTACCCTGGCAATTAAGTAACAGGACATTTTTAACAAAGTAAGAATAACTGCACTGCACCCAAAGTTTGAGTAATTACAGAGTGAATTTCAAATCCAAATGAATCTTCATTCTCTTCCATGAGAAAACACTTCTTAAGGCTTTCTAGGCTCCTGCTATACAATGAGAACAGAATCATGAGAACAGTTCCTGAAAAAAATACAGACAAGATACTACAAGAAGGAAATTAAGCAAACAGTGATGCAATTGCTGTCCACAAACTCTAGTTCTTCGTCATCTAGAGTTATTCAGCCCTGAAGAATGGAAGGGTTGCTGACGCAAGCACAGGAAAAAAGGATAAAAGGTAAATCCTGGTTGTCCCTTCAGACTGCTGCTTATCAGGTTTACGCTGGTGAAGTGACAAGTCAAACTCTTCTCGCTTTCTGGCATGACATTCATTTGTACCTGAGCTTGAACTGAAGTCAATGTAAGAACACAAAGGTGACTGAAACCCTTGGCTCCTGCATGTAAGGCTGGTCTTGGAGAAAGAGGTCTCAAGTAATCGTAAGATTGTGCCTGGTGACAACAGATTACTGCTGAATACCTAAAAATGAAATCGACAACTTGTCTGTAAATTACAAAGACAAGCGAAACAGTGATGCAGATGTCAGATGAAGATACTCTGTCCACGAAACTTTATAAGCAGAGAATCTCCACAACAAAACCACAAAGAAAACAGGTCTTAAGATCCAGTGTAGACTGTGCACACAACCTTGAGAATATGAACCTAATTTTTTATTTATGTAGTTATTTGTTAAACAAAAAGGATTCCCATATAAGAACGCAATCTTGACAGGAGCCCGAAGTCACAATAGACAAACCCTATCTGTTATTTGGAAAGGCAGAACTTTCCACAAGACAGAAGAAACTGTCTTCCACACCAGCTGGCTTATACTTTTTGTTGATCTGAGAAAGCTAACAGCTTCAGAATCAGTTACAACAGCTAGAGAAGGAACCAGAATGCGTATAAAGGAACTCTTCATATTTTCAGGAGATAGGTGTTTTTTAATTTTTTTGTTAGTAAGAGATCTGCTGACTTCAAATTAACCTTGCTTTTATCAGAAGACACTTGCCAATACTCCACTTTTATATAGTTGGGTGCCTTGATTCCTTTTCTCCTTGCGGGGAACACCTGGACAATATAGATACATCTGTTGCCACAGCTTTTGAAATAAACATGATAAACTGGCAATCATCTCTGTAGTACCAAGGTAAGACTTCCAAACTGATCAAGTCCAACTAATCTCGCCTAAGACACCGAATATGGAGAGTGCACTGCTTCCAGAAAAGGATGCATAAACCCCTGTCCCTGGATACGTATATCACCTTTATTCTTCAGTTTCAGTAAGCACAGGGAATCCAATACCAGGAAAGGTAACACAACAGAATATGAAGTAGGTCCCAAAGAAAGAGGTCTTGTAACTCAGAAGTTCCTGGAGTAAGGCAGTAATTCACTCCAACGTTGATGTTTTAGCACACTTGTGCCTTGTTCAGTGCAGAGGCATTGCTGAAGAGCTTGTCTCTTCAATGCAAACTCCCACAGCAAGGAAAAGAGATGAAAGAACTCTCTACATAAGAGTGCTTGTGCTACAAGAAGTGAAGGGGAGGAGACACAACCAACAGAGGAAAGAGTTTTCTGATGCAGAGGAAAGATGGAGAAAATGAAAGAAAGCTCACATGGAAGAAGTAGTTTGACCAAGCGCCTCAAATCCTGTAATAATGCCCTTGTCTTCCAATAAGTATTTTCATACAAGGTGACATATCAAACAGTGCAGAAAAATGACTACATAGAAATTAATTTATTCTATCAGTACCAAAGAATTCTTTACACAAAATTGCCTAGAAAGCAGATGTTTGTTGGTACCAAAACAAAGATACCACTTTTTATTTTGACACGTCCTATAGAGCAAGGAAATCTCAATTTTGTCAAATTAGACCAGTGAGAAAGAATAGGACTAGCGCTTTCTGAAATCTGAACTTCTGGAGAAAAAAATCCCAAAACTTCATATACTACACTAGAAGTCTCCGCTAGTAGTACAAACTCAAATAATTCCTAGCGCCATTTTGTGACTGCTCTGAATCCCAGAGCATTTCTATGCAGTTTGTCCATGCAGATCATCCTGAGTGCCAGCCTTCTGTTTCAGCATATTCTATTTACCATCTCTTGATACCTAGAACACCTTTTAGGAATGTTTTCCTCACAAGACATCCGACTTCTGGATTATGGGACTCAATTCAAGTCACATCTGCTAAAAAAGGTAATTTCAGAAGAGAAAGCTATGGAACAAAACATCCTTTGACTATAAAAAGATAAGCAAGCCACATTGCTGAGATAACAGCCTCAGAATGGCAAAGTACATCTACTCTATATCCATGTGCTACGAACTGGCATGCCCTGTGTCAGCATGGTAACTGAAAACTTTTCCCCGGCCCCAAATAAGGCATACGTATGGCACAGTAAAATCAGATGTCATTTAAAGACAGACCTTAGTTTAGTTAACTGGCTTCTGCTGTTACATCTTAAGAAACTCATTCTGTTCCTTTACAGTTTTCTTTAGAATAAGCTGGCTAGCACTATGAATTAGAGCCACCAATTCAATGACAACAGCTGCTGTCTGACATGGGATCTGAAGGCCAACTTCTTCAATACAGACCAAGGGATTAACAACCTGACAGTATTACATATTGTGTTAATACAATATTTATGATGACATACAGCTCCTCACACTATTTTAAAATTAGATAACAATTTTAAATTAAGACTCTTAAAGTGAAACCAGGATATGGCAACACAAGAGAAGAAATGGTACTGTATACAGCCTCAGAAACATGTATGTAAAGGTAACAAACCATTTTATTCTGAAACATGTTGAATTCTCTTCTCCCTAACAAGCCATGAAAAGTGACCCTTGAAATACAGAAAAATGCCAGAATATTTAGAAAGATAAAAAATAATTCTAATAAGAAAATCAGAACATTTAGAACAATTTAATTCAAATAGGTTTTAAGAATTAAGACATAAACCACTTAAAGACAATATGAAATGCCTACCCCTTAAATGACATGCTGATCAGCATAAAAATTTTAGTTATCTTCAGCAAATTTAGATTAATATCAGAATACTCAATAAGTTTTATGAGCTTTTCAGCAAGTTGTTTTCCAGTTCATTTCTGACACAAGAGGAAGACAGAGGTAATATCTGTTAATCCCTGGAATAGACATATTCAACTCAGTTACCTCTGTGAGACAACACCTCTAGCTGTAAGACCTAGTATTAGTTTAATTTAGCATTAATAGGGGGAAAAAACCCTCAAACCTTTTTTGTTTAATTTACACTCATGCTCAAATTTTAATTGAGGGGGCTAGCAATCACAGAATCATCTAGGTTGGAAGAGACCTTTAAGATCATTGAGCTCGACCATTAACCTAACACTGCCCAAGTCCACCACTACACCACGTCCCTATGTGCTACATTTACACACTGTCTTTTAAACACCTCCAGGGATGGTGACTCAACCACTTCCCTGGGCAGCCTGTTCCAACGCTTGACAACCCTTTCGGCAGAGAAATTTTTCCTAATGTCCAATCTAAACCTCCCCTAGCACAATTTGAGGCCATTTCCTCTTGTCCTGTCACTTGTTACTTGGGAGAAGAGACTGACCACCACCTCACCACAGTCAGGCAGTTGTAGAGAGCGACAAGGTCTCCCCTCAGCCTCCTCTTCTCCAGACTAAACAATCCCAGTTCCCTCAGCTGCTCCTTGTAAGACTTGTGCTCTAGACCCTTCACCAGCTTCGTTGCCCTGCTTTGGACATGCTCTGGCATCTCAATGTCTGTCTCGTAGTGAAGGGCCCAAAACTGCACACAGCAATCGAGGTGCGGCCTCACCAGTGATGAGTAAGAGACACAAGAGAACAAAGCCCCACAGTAATTTTAAGTAAGAGAATACCTATTACACCTTGCTATTGAGATCTTTTTTTCTAGGCTAAGTTGCAAGCTGATGTTACCGTACTAGAACCATGCAGAGTACTCAAAGAAATGTAAAGCCAGATTCCTTCTCCTTCGTTAACTGCTTTCCCCAAAAATAGGAGACAGAACTTGACGAGTGAAACCGTACATGAACCAAAGCCCCACACAAAACGTATCTGGTAGGGTTAGATCTTCCCTTAGATTTGCTGTGGACAAAGCTTTCTGGAAAGTTCCCCAACTAAATGAAAATTATTTTTCTGCTGACAGAGCATTTCCTTTGCATGCAGTCTATGATGGCTACATGTGAAAGTGCATATAGAAGCTGTCTTTTGAAAGACTTATGACCTACCTATTTTGTCTTACATAAACATACATGTTGCACACACATATATAAACAACAGTTTACATTACAAGGCCAATTATAATCTGCATTTTGCACTCATTTATGTCAAATAGGGTGAGCAGCTTTGTAGATAATGTAGCTCCAAGCTTCTGTATCCACTTGTACACAAACAGTACTAAGGCTTTTCTTTTCAAGTCACAGTGTTTATTCCCAGAAAAACTCAAGTCTAAACAGACATCTGTAAGACTCTAAATTCCATCTGCCTCCTTCCTATATCCAGCGGGACAAAACTCGCCCTTTGTATCAACTTCTTGTTAATTGCATTTTTGTCTGGTTACTTCCAGTTCTCTCTTTTTCAGGTGGTGGCTCTCAAGCAAGTCCTGGTATAGTGTACATATTAGGCTTAATTTGACAGAAACGTGATTTTTCACATTTGAAACAGAATATATTACAAATAGCTTTTAATGATGACTATTACTCATTCAACACTTACCCACTACACCTACTATCTTAAGAATACTACACACTGCAATGGAATAAATGGGGAATTTTTTTTTAGGTTTAGACCCGACATAGAAACTGCATTTCTCATTTCTCTTTAACTAAGCATATAACTATCCATAGAAGTATCTGCTAAGCTAAAGTGTGATCCCGCAAAGTTACACTAATCATAAAATTAATGTATCATTGTTTCTGATACTGACGACGTTTCAGTAAATGTGATTTTTTTTTTTTTTTAATCAAAAATACTCCTAGTTTGGATTAATTGTTACATTTTTGGCCAATTATGTTTTTTAATGCATAGCTTAAATTAACTTTTTCTGGATAATGAGTTTGCTTTCATCCCCATTTCTGAAATTAAGACAGTTTGAAATTAACAAACCTCTCTGGCAATGTTACTCAGAGCTTCATCTTCGGCAGAAAACCTGTCTTTCACTGGCGTTCTCTTCCGTCCTGATCCAGGAGTTCCCATTTTTATTCTCTGGTTCTGTATTTGCAAAAACAGACAAGAAAAAGCTCAGTTTTTCAGATCTGGAATTAAAAACAAAAACAAACAAAAACTTGTCCACACCCTCAAGTGTAAAAAATTTTCTGATTCTTCAGCTATATAATACTCAAGAAACCTACGTGCCATTGGCACAAGTTTATCAGCAGCTATAAGTCTTTCTGGGAAAACTTTATCGCAAAATCTTGTGGCAGCTTTATAGAAGACCACTGGATCCTACAAGGTGCACACAGCACATTTTTCTACTAAACAGAACCCCTCAGTTTACCTACAGCTTCAAAGTTATGCACAACTGTTAACTGCTCCTAGTTCAATGATGACAGCTATGTACCCTGACACTTTTCACAAGTTCTAAAAATTAGTGTCCATTTAATTTTATGAAGAAAACCTATAGGCAACAACAGAATTAAACTTACATGATTAGAGCTCTCTCCAAAACAGAAAAGATCAATTCAGCAAACTTTTCAAAGCAACCAAGCAGGTAGATGAGGCTTATTTACATTTTAATGCTGCTGTTCTCATTCAGCTGCAACTGAATGAGAACTGCAGTCTTCTACTAAGGTCGAAGTTTTACTATAATAGAAATAGAGACATTTCTAGACAAACTTTCTTTTGCCTAATAAGACTCCTAATTTGGGAAATGAAGAGAGAAACATAATAGCATCATATACCCAGAATAATACACAAAACACCCTCTTAGTCTTCTTCCAGAAGCCTCTATTATCAATTGCAAGAATACAAAAATCACCACCAAACCAAAACATAGCACATACAGCCACAACAAAACATCAGTCAAAAAAATAACCTAAATGAGTTCTTTCAAATACCCTAAAGAAACTCTACTTCCAGACATCCAGGTCCTTCCAAATGCTAGATCAGAATTTGGTGGTAGTCCAGCTATTTGATATAAATGAAATAAGTGTCCCACACAGGGTTTGGGAAAACACCTTATTTAGAACAAAATTTTCATCATGCAAATAGAAAAGGTCTAGAAGGGAACCAGTACTGGCTACCCTTTTGAAACTGAACTGGTGCAAGAATTATCTCTCTTCTCTCCATAATTTTATATCACTAGTCCTCTTTTCCTTGCAGGCAGGAAGTCTTTTATTCTGCTCCAAATTCTGTATGTATTTTACTATTCTTTAGGTGCTCAGACAAGGGATGTAGAATATTTGCTGATGAGAGAAAAGACAACAAAGACTTGAAACTAGATGTCCCCCTTCTTCAAAGCTCCCGCATAGGACAGATACCACAATTATGCAACTACCTTATTCATTTCCAGTTGTTATTCTGAGACCAAAACTAAACATACACAATACTGCAGATCCACAACTCCTCCATTTGCAAAAACCTTAAAGGAGAGCTTGCAGTGTTTGCAGATGAGTAGTAGAGGAGTAAAACCACAGTATCTGAAGGGACCAGAGAAGAGGCAGTTCTATCACCCAGTAATGAACATGCTCTTGACGGAGAAAAGTGGACATAAGTACCCCCCGGATTCCATCCATTCCTCCATAGCCAGCTTGTTCATTTTGCAGTGCACAGTATTTGGATAAAACACAGGCATTTGGACTAACACACAGGACTACCTGCCAGGGAGTGCTTTTACCATCTGCTGTGGCTCACGGTTCAATCTATTTGCTAGTCCCCCACAACACGATGTTGTTGCAGTTTGTTTTGGCTTTAATTCTGGAGTTAGGTAGCAGCACACTTCCAGGAAGAAACACAAGATTCCAGCCTCACACTTATCAGGGGTTGGGATGAGTCCTGGAAGTAGGACCGCAGAGCTCAAATTCAGGGTGAAGGGAGGCTCTGAGATAAGGCCTGGGACAAGTATCGCCATTGTTAATCCATTTGGTAAGAGTCTGTCTTCTTAGTCTTAAAAAGCAAGCAAACTTATGTCTTGTACTCAGACTAACTTAGATACGTACATGCAGAAAGCAGTTTGAAGATCTCCGTGATAAAGGTTTAAGCTCAGAGCTACAGGTTGCTGCCCACATTCAGAAGAAATGTCTCCAAGAATCTGCACCTTTTTTCAGTAATTCTTATTGGCTGACTTCAAATAAGAAAAGCAGCTAGGGCCCAAAGCAGAAGTTGCACCAACACAAAATAATATCCCCTACTACAGAAGGTTTTCACAAGGTTATACATTAGCAAAAAAAAAAAAAAATCAAGAAATTATGTTATTACAATAGATCAGTTTATGGAACCAACAGAACTCAAACCTATCTACTAAAAAAGTCACTAAGCATGAAACAAAATTATTTTATTTTGTATGTTAAGGGTTATATTTCTTAACTAAATATTTACCACATAAGTAAAAACTGCAGAATAACTGCACATACCGTGGACTTGAATTGCATTTGTGGACGTCCTTTAAAAAAGCATATCACTTCTAATAGACAATGAACTTTCGTTTGCTAATTCAGTGAGACTCTCTTAGCTGGCAGATAGACTTGGGGAATTAAATGTAACAGGTTATATAGCTATTTTTAGTCTATGTTCAGACTTACAATAAGCACTAATGTATGTCCAGAGAGAGTAGTGAATTTAAAAAAAAAAAAAAAAAGATGCTGATACTTTAAATAAGCAATGAGCACTTCATCTTAGTCTCGCTGCAGAATAATTGTGCCAAAGTCACTGTGGAGGAAGGCAAGTGTGGCATCCCTGCCAGCCATCTGCCAGGCTTCTCACCTAGGATGAGCGCAGAACTCCTGAGCCCAAATCCAAAAAAAGGAGGCAGTGACAGATTACCTAGAAGATATACAGAGATGTTGCCTTTGCCTACAAGGACAAGTTAGGAAAGCCAAAGCTGAAGTAAAACTAGGAAAGGCTGAAAAGGACAAAGAGAAAGGCTACAGTAAGAACATTGGGAACAAAAGAAAGACTAAAAAAACTGTAGGGTCATTGCTTAGTGACAAACCACTATGTAGCGGCAGGGCACCTGCAAGGCCCATCCTTGGCAAAACGCTCTGGCTAATAGCAAATGCGAAGATAGGAATTTTTGTGTGCGTTAATCAAATATGCCAAATTGTCTGACAGGATATTGGCCCATTTGTCATGTTGGGGAGCAAGAGGATCTATTGTTAGATTAAACAGTAATTAGGGAATTAGAAAAAAATGTTTGAAATAAAGGAGTCCTCTTAAGAAGTAGTAAAAAAAAAATACAGTAGTTTGTACCAGCAGAAAATATATTGGAGAGGAAACAGCATCAGTCAAGACCGGGTTTGACACTGCCAGAAGTCACCTCACTGACTGAATCATGCTATCTGTCCAGGCCTGACAGCACAGCATCCCTCCTGCAGGATGCGAGGTCCTGCACTCCAGCTAGCAGGTGGTCAGTACAGGGCGCAGCCAGGGAGAACCACCCACGATTTAGGTGCCAGAATGCGAGCTTGTGAGGAGCACGCTCACTGGCACATGCGTTAGGGCATTGCAGGAAACAATATAGGTACGTGCAAATCTATAGTGTCAACATCTCCAACATGAATCATGTGCAAATAGGGGACCCTGGAGTGGAAGAACACAGGGTAGTTCAACATTGGCCTAGAGATGCTGTGAAATGTCCAGCCCTGAAGATATTCAAAATTTGTCTGGACAAGGCTCTGAAAAACCGGCTCTAACTGACCACACTTTGGGCAAGGAGCGACCTCCAGGGGTTCCTTCCAAAATAAGAGATTATATGATTCTATAGTTATCACTGCTGCCAGCTTTGAAACTAAACCTCAATATAAGCTTTCTTTTATATGATGTTTTAATATTCCTTCAAGGGTCTTGTCACAATTTCTTCCATTCCACGTAACTTTTAACTGACCTGATGTATGTCAGAGTATTTCATGTCTTGTTATACACTTCAGGACTAAAGAGATCTAATCCTACTGCTAATAGGCTAATTAGTCTAATACTAAATGTATCATGCTGTTACTTCTCACAAAAATACAAGTTGCCAAATATTTCACATCCATGCAGAAGTATTTCTTACGTGCTTTACTTCCATAATTTGCTAATTATGAGAAAAGTTATTTTGCTGCACATTATAAAGAATTGAATATATGCTGTAACATTAGAATTTTCACAGAAAATAACTAAAGAAAAACCCCAAACCAACACAACCACACAGAGAACAGTTCGTTACACTGGCCTTCCTAAACCATAATAAATAAAAGGCAAGAATGTTATAATCTGCTGCATTTACCGTTCAGAGTCACATCTATTTCATGTTTATTTCTTACTGTAGACTGGGTTACACATTGTATTACACAACTGACAAGTGACATCCTGTTGTATTTCACTACAAAAAAACCTTAAGTGTCTGAAGTCCCCAAACAAACCAGAAGACCTATGATGAAATTCCTCAAGTTCCCTCTCATTCGCCTTCACTTCAGGCATATATAAATTTTATCTCTTCCCCAAGTCTTTGTTGTCTACTCTTCTTCCTATTACCTTCTGACTAAAGGCTCTCTTTGCTACTTATTTCATTTCCTAGAAAAAAAAAGTGTGACCTGTCTTACATAAAACAGAACCTACACTACAATTTAAGGCACTACCACTCACCACCTTCAATGGCACCACCTGTTCTGATGCCTGGGTCTATGCCAGTGTATTTGGCATCACATATATGCAAGGCATTCAGATACTACAGTGTGAACAGGCTATAAATAAACAGACTGAAACTCTCCTCTTTCAAGTAAGACCATAACATAATTAAAATTCACCTGTGTAGAAACAGTCTTTGTAGATTTGACCCAACAGCTCAGAATAGAGCAGCCCTGCTCTAGAACCACTGGCTGTTAGAGTCAGCCTCAGTTTCCGAATTAATACTAGAATATAAGCAAGCAGCCCCAGCATTTCAAGTCCAAAGCCACACACACAGTAGTTTATCTTTTGAAGAAGTAAAATCTTTTAATCCTCAGAAGGAGTTGCACTTTTTGTCCATAATACCCAGGCAAAGTTTCTTGCTGTTTCAGTCG